TAAGTTCTGAGAACCTGGGCTGTCAACTCTGCAGTGGAGAGCAATGAAGTAGAAGCAGCTTTGAATTTATGCTCCAAGAGAAGAAGGTTTGGCTCTCTCTATATACTATGGGGAAAATAATATCTATTCTTCTTAACTCACAGGACTGCTAGGAGGACCAAATGTAATGTAATTGGTAAACTGCTGTATAAATACCAGCTATTAGTATTACCATCTATCAAGAAGCAAAGTTGGAGATATCATTTGGGGTGAGAGTAGGTGGGGACAGACAGCTCCTGTTGGGAGGTGCCATCAGATTGAGAGCCAGAAGGAGACGGAGAGCGCATCTAGCCTAACACCCTTATTTATTATTATCCATTTATTAGTGATTATGAATAAATACCACTACTATTAGTTTACATCGAGGTATCAAGGCTAGAAAACTGGACAAAGAAGGCCTGAGCTTAGAGCCTGCCTCTTATACTTCTGAGATGTCTGATTATCAACAAAGTAAGTCATTTAATCTCTCTGAGCTGAGGGCAGCTTTCTAAGACCATGAAGTTACAAAGGGTTCTTGTCATTCTAAAGTCAAATAACTGGTCTTTTATGTGGTGTTTTGAGGTTTCCAAAGTGCTTTATGGCCACTGTCTCGTTTGGTGGAAACTCATTTTGCAGATGAAGGTGCTGAAGCCCAGAGGTGAGATATCCTGCCCAAGGTCATCCAAGTGGAAGGGAAGGAAGCCAGGGTTCTTGGCTCCAAACCTGTGCTCTTTCCACCACATGACGTGGGTCACCACATGGTGATTTCCTCTTTGCCCCAGGTTTAAAGCTCCTGCTAGCCTTGGACTCAGGAGACCTGAATTCAAATCCTGGCTTTGATACATGTCAATGACCCTGACTATGGGCCTCTTAGGGCCTGCATCTTCATGAGCATTTTCCTCATAGGGCTGGCACCTGGAAAGCACTTCAGCAACCTTTTAAAAAAAGCATAGAAATGGGGAATTTCCCCTCCCTAGAGCTGTCATTCAGGGCAAAAAGGGAAGGGTCAGCTTTCTCTCCTATTCTGATTTACCATTTTCTTTTGCTCTCATCATCAGGTTTATTCCAGAGTCAATAACCTGGGATCAGATTTCAGGTTATCCAGGCTTCTCACTGGGTAAAGGGGCTGAGGGAGAAAATGGGGTCAGAGACAACTAGATCCAGATTCCCTACTTCAGATTGCATCCTTCTTCAGATGGCAGAAAGTCATCACTCCATTACCTCTACCACCTCAGGTCTCAACTGCCTGCAGAGCACAATAATGAAATCCTCCTTCCCCTTCCGTGGACCAAAGTGCTAGAAGACATATCCACTCCACTTCCCATATGATGAGAAAAGAGTCTGGCGACTCTGGAAAGAGAAGGTTCCCAAACCCCAGGACTCTAAGATCTATACACCTCCCTCAGGAAAAGGCAATGCCCCCAGGCAAGAAAGGACTCACCTCCAGATCCAGTTCCATCTGAGGTCTTCCTTTGTTCCCAAACAAGTTTCTGTGTAATAACGGGCAAATTGCTTAACCTCTCAAAGGTTCAGTTTCCTCATCTGTAAAATGTAGATGTTAATAAATAATAATAACTGAAAAACAACTTGAAGGTTTGCTACAGATATTATCTACATGTTACAGATGAAGAAACTGAGGCTCAAAGTCTCACTGGGCTCAATAAACCTTAAAAGTCCTACATAAATGTGACAATGCCTTTCTTCCTCTCTGAAGGGGAAAAACTGGAACCAGATGATAAAATGATCTGGAGGAATAAGATTTGAACCACATCCCACTGCAGCTCAGGTCAGTGAACAAGCAGGAAAAGGTCCAGCCATGGACCCTCCACTAAAAAGAAAATAAATACTTCCAGAGTCAGGATAACAGCCACCACACTAGGTCTCTTTCTTTCCTTCAAGGAAACAAGATGAGAGGAGTAGCTCACCTAGCCACAGCCTCCCATCCCCTACACCTAGCCAAGGCTGATCCCTCTAATTTTTCTGCAGAAAGAAATGCTGCCTTCAACTCCAGCTGCAGAGCAGCTGTGCCAGCAGAAATCACGGTGTCTGATATTTCCTGCTCCTAGTTCTGGGCTCCAGGCTGCTGGAGTGGTTAGGGGAAAAGCAAGCTTCTCGCCTGCAATGGTTGAAACTAAGGAATCACACAGATGGAGGCACTCTGGGCTGCTTCACTACTAGCTCTTGCTTCAGAACTGCTCGTTCGACAACAGAAAAGGTTTTCATTCTGGGGAAGGAATACCCTTCCCTACCCACACTCTCAGCCTTCCCTGTCTCTCAGTTTTATTTCTTTCTCAATATTGCACCCGAGCCCAAAGTCTACTTTCCATCCCCTACCCCACCCCCCAGCTCTGGCAAATTCTCCTTTGGTCCCCTCCATCTCTTACTGCTGCAGGGAGGTAGCAACGCTTCCTGTTCGAGTCCCAGAGCCCTGTCTCTGGGCTGCAGCTGATGATAACCACCCAGGCATTTATGTTTAGGATTTTTAAAAATTCCCCCATCACCCACACCTAAGGCCGAAGAAAACCTAGAAGGCTGCAGCATCTTTAAATCAGTTCAACAAAACCCTACTGAGTACCTACTACATGTAAGGGGACTGGGATGAGCACGGAGTAGCCTGGTGAATTAGGGAGTAGGCAGAGGAGACCGGGGAGTGGAAGGGAAAGGCCTTTTTTTCTCTGGGTCTCTCTGATTTAAAAAATAGAGAAACAAAACCACACACACACACACACCACACACACACACACACACACACACACACACAAAGTCACAACTCAGTCCAAAGGAAGCCACCCACGCAGGCCCCCAAAGTGTAGAAATGTTGGCTTTCCTCTGCGAAAGATTGGATAGGATCGGGGGACCAAGTCGAGGGAGCCGTTCGCACACATGCCCAGAGGTCCCTGGAAATGACCATCAATCGGACCGTCGGGGCGGGGAGGTCCCTAGGGTTCCAAACGCTACAGCCACAAATCCTCAATACAGAAACAGTACACATACCACACACACACACACACACACACACACACACACACACACACACACACACACACACGTTCGGGTAAGGAGGATAAAACACGCTCCACCATAGATTTCCATCACTTTACACAAAGGGGCCTGTTTTAACCAGTCCGGGAATGACACCTCCGACTCTGTCCTCTCACAGCCTCTTCTCCCTAGGGCTCAACATTCCGTCCTTCAGTCACCTTACCCCAATCCGGGGCAGGGATTTTCAGCGTCCCTACCTGGGCCTCGGGGAAACCCGGACCGTACTTGGACACTTCCCGCAGTGGAGGTGTTTTCCCACATAAGCTACAGTTCCTTCGGAAGAAGCGGGAGATAGACGGATTCCAATTACCAACCCTAACCTCGATCCCTTCCCGTCTAATTCCTGTTTGATTTTGAGGCTTCGTTTTGAGATTAGGAAAAACAAAAACAAACAAAAACATGCCCTCCTTCCCCCTAGCAAACTCCCGACGACCATCAAACCAAAGAGACCAAAGGACAGCCGATCTGGCCGGGCGTGGGCAGGGCAGCCCAAATAGCTCTTTTCTCTCCAAGGCCTGGTCAGTTTCAGCCCCAGCCCTTGCCCCGCTCCGCGTGCCTCTTGCCCTGGCCACGACCGCAACCCTTTCTCGCAGGGCTTCTCTTAGTAGCCTTGGACCCTTCTGGGCCTGCGAGACTCCCCATTTCCCTTCCTCTGACCATCCTCCGCACCCTCACCCCAAGCTAGCCCCAGAGAGAAACACGACTCAGACTCAGCCCCCTTCAAACAGAGCAGCGGAGGCGACAGCGGCGCTTCCATCTCAACAGGTTTATTCGTTTTTCTCTTTCCTCTGTTTTCGTAGCAAATGGAAAAATAAAATAAAGGAAAGGAAAGGAAAAAGTCAGCCCCACGCTTGGGGCGGAGGGGGCCACTCCCGGGGCCCTTGAAGCTGGACCATGCCTAGGGACTCCAACTAAAGGACAAAAGAAAGGGCCAGGGGCCCGGCCAAACCTGGAGGCCACTGGGATCTCGGGGATATCGTGGGCCAGGCTCTCCAGGCCGGGCGCATCTCCTCTTGCACTCGGCCTCGAGGCCCTCCCCAACCTCTAAAGGCCATCAGGCTTTCAAAACAATAACAACAAAAAATAAAAATAAACAAAAACGCAAACGAAACACAAAGCAGTTTAAATTAAAAGGTACAAAAAAAAATCCTCGCGGCCGGGGCCTCATTTCCTTCTCGGCTTGTCAATTCTGGGTTTGCTAGAAACCCTGTGCGTCCTGTCCTTTCACTCTTCTTCCAGGGCAAAAAAAGATTCGTTTCCCAGGGAATAATAAATACAATCTGGTGCATAGAGAAATAACAGCCCGCGGCCCAAGTCCGCCTGCTCCGGCCACCGCCGCAGGCCGCCAGCCGGAGTTTGTCTCCATTCCACCTGCACGGGCTTCCTTTGCCCCCCACCCTCGACCCACCCCTACCCCACAGAGTAGCAGTAATAGTAGTAGTATGATTAAACAGTATAGATACTTTCTCTTGGTTTAAATCTCTAAAAATACAAAACAGAACAAAACAAAAAACGCCAATAGCAGTGGGCGGGCAGCCGGCAGCTCTGGGACCCGCGTCGGGGACCGGCTGGCGGGGTAGCCGTCTTACGACGGGCGGCGGAGAGGGAGGGCCAGCAGGCGTCCCGCGGTTCAGGGGCAGACGGCAGGCAGCTGCTCACTCAGTGGTCTCGCACATGCTGGGACAGAAACTTTGGGGTTAAGACTCAGAGCTTGGGGGGGGGATTTTTTCCCTCCAGTTTTTGTTTTTAAAATCATCAAGCAAAATAGAAAAGGAGAGAGAGGGAGGGGGAGTGAAATTGAATTGAATTAAGAGGGAAAAGAGACGAAGTAACAGAGAAAGAACAAATAGAAGAAAGAAAAGAGACAGGTGGAGGAGACAGAGACAGACAGGGGCGTGGGGAAAGAGGGAGAGAGAGGGAGAGAGAGAAAGAGAAAAGAGAGAGAGAGAGAGAGAGAGAGAGAGAGAGAGAGAGAGAGAGAGAGAGAGAGAGAGAGAGAGAGAGAGAGAGAGAGAACGCAAAGGACGAGAGCTGAGCCCTCCAAACCTAAATTCTACATATGTACAAGTGGCCTCCTTTAAATAAGTTAAATCTGGCTCAAGTTTCCTGTTTAAAATAACCATTCTCCATCCTCATAGCAATAAGATTAATAATAATAATAATTAATAATAATGATAGTAGTAGCAATAATAACGAACATTATTCCCGTGGTCAGCACCATCTTAGCCGAAGGGACCGAAGGGAACAGAATTCGAGCAAGCAAAGTCCCCTTCCACCCACACTTCCAGCTCCGAGCCTGGAGGGAATCCTGGACCGGGCCAGGGGAAGGGGGAGGGCCGCACTCTACTAGGGCGGCTAGGCCGGATGCCCACGGGCCCTGGAGTTGGAGACTGAAGTGACCGCCCGGTGTTAGGGGCCTGGGGCGGCTCAGGCCTCCAGAACTTGTGCCCTGGCTCGGCCCTTTAAGACTTTTCTGTGCGCAGAGTTGGGTTCGGGAGATTGGGCTAGAATTAAAAGGATGCAAAACCCTAACGGCGCCAAAGCGCTGGAGAGGGAACGCGCCTCAGGCCCGAACAAGGACCCCCCCGAGTCCATACATGGCCCGCATGCAGGGAGGCCCGGCGGGGTGGGAGGTGACAAGGGAACAGCAGTTCCGAGCCGCCTGGAAAGCCGCTGAGGCTAGTGCTTCACAAAGTCTTAAGAAAAGTTTAGTGGAGAGGCGACCTCCGCAAGACCACTTCTTCCCTCATTAGCTCCGCCGCTCCCGATCCCTCCCAGCCCAGTACCAAGTTAAGATTCCGTAGTGTGTGAAGTTGCCCCCAGAGTTCGGGGGCTGCAGACACCCTCCCCTCCAAGTAAATCCCCTCCCTCCGGGGCTTCTGGAAATTTACAAAGTTCACAGCGCCTTTGGGCCGGGTTCTCGGGCAGAGCCGCCAACGTCTCGGCAGAGGCCGGGGGAGGGCACGGGGAGCGCTGGTAAGAGAGGAGAGGGGCAGAATCCTCGCTTCGGCCGCTCCTCGGCTCGCTCCCCGAAGCCTGCGCGGAGCCCCAGCCGCGGCCCGGACTAGGGGCAAAGCTCACAGGAAGTAATCAGCTGCCCCTTTGGCTGCCCCGGGAGCGGCCTGGGGCGGGGAGGGCTCCCTGGGGAAGCCTGTGTTGCCGCTGCCGGCTCCCCCGGCCGCTGCCCCGGGCCCCCCGGCTCCGGCCCCTGCCCCAGGGCCTCCTCGGCCCGCCAGCTTCTCGTATTTCTCCCGGTACAGGTCCCGCTCTTTGGCCAGCCGGCCCACCTCCAGCTTCAGCTGCTCCACCTGGCTCTGCAGCTGGCACTTCTCGCTCTCCAAGATGTGCCGCTGCTGCACCCGCTTATAGCGGCAGGACTGCGCGTAGCCACGGTTCTTCAGGGTCCGCCGCTTCTGTTTCAGGCGGATCACCTCCTCCTTGCTGAAGCCGCGGAGCTGTCGGTTCAGCTCGCGCACAGACATGGACACCAGCTGGTCGTCGGAGAAGCGCTCCTCCAGACGCACGTGGTGGCCGTGGCCCGCGCCGTGGTGGTGGTGGTGGCCCGGGTGATGGTGGTGGTGGTGAGCTGCGTGGTGGCCACTGTGGTGGTGGCCAGGCCCCAGCTCCTCCCCAGCGCCCCCGCCGCCGCCCGGAAAACCCTGAGCCCGGAAGGTCTCGTAGGCCGAGGCCGAGTGGTGGCCGCCGTGGTGGCCGCTGCCGATGAGCGCCTCCACCGCGTCCTCCGGGGTCAGGTTGAGCGCCTCGGGGTTGAGGTGGTGCTGGTAGCCGCTCATCCAGTACAAGTCCTCCAGCTGGGGCTTGCCAGTCACAGCCCCGACAGTTGTGGGGCCCCCGCTCGGCGGCCCGGGGGGCCCCCCTGTGGGCGCTCCTCCGCCGCCTCCGCCTCCTCCTCCTCCTCCGCCGCCGCCGGTGCCTGGGCTTGGGGCACAGAAGCTGGGCGAAGAAGGGACCGAGGAGCAGGGGGTGCTGAGTGGTGTGGAGGAGAGTGAGCCTGGGGGAAGGCGGTGGCAGAAGCGCTCCGCTTCGGGGGGCTCCTTCTTTACTTCAAACTTCATCAGGTCGAAGTCGTTCACGTATTCGATGGCCAGGGGACTGCTGGGCAGCTCGCCGCCCATCGCCAGCTCCGAGGCCATCTCAGGAAGGCCCTGCCCCGGCCCGCCCCCCGCGCCCTGACAGCTCAAGGGCAGCGGGGAGGAGGCTGTCACCCCCGACGGGGCGGGCAGACTGGGGTCAAGGGCGAGAACTGGGGGCGGAGGTGATGGGGGGGGAGCCGCCGGCCTCCCCCCCCACTACACTAATTAAATCGGGGGTCTGGGCACGCCCCCACCTCCTGCAGGCTTCCCCCGAGGGGGGCGCGAAGTGTATAAGTCCTGGTCCCGCCTGCGGTGGGCAGCTGAGGTTGGTGCCGCGGCGGTGGCGGGAGAGGTGAGTAGAGCAGAACACTTTCCCGCGAGGGAGGAGGTGGGGTGCGCCGGCTTTGGAGGGAGAAGGCAGAAAAGTTTGGTGGAGAGAACTCACTGAAGTGCTGGGAGGCCCTCACTGCCTCGCCTCCGCCAGGACTCTTTGGCGGTCCTAGTCCGTTCCTGCTTTCCGTGCGCCTTCGCTGAGAAAGTCACCCCGCCGGCACGCACTGGGCTCCCGGAGCGAGTGCCCTCCCGCGGCCCCACCGCCTTTCTGTCCTCGCTCGGTTGCGAAAGCTGTTCTTTGCTCTCGCAGCAATTGCTGCTGCCGCCGCTGCTCCCACCTCCTCCTCTTCCCACGGTTTCCTAAGCGGCGCGGCGCGGCCCGGCCCGGCCCGTCCCGGCCCGCCCCAGCGCCCCCCCCACCCCCTCCTCAACAAGATTGAAACGCCGAAGACAGCACTCAGCCCTTTTATAGAGCGCAGTGCCCGAGCCCGCCTCCCCGGGAGGGGGTAACAGCCCCCAGGCCAATCGGAACCCCAGCCCGTCCGCCCTCATTTGCCTATCCCCATGGCAACCTGGGAGCCCAGCTGTCAATCTCCTGCGGGAAACAGCTGTGAGTAAGCGGAAGGGAAGAAAAGCTAGGAGCAGGAGAGAGGGGCACGGCCCCCCTAGTGGCAGATGCCAGGGATTGCACACGGAAAGAGGGATGTACCATCATGGGGTGTGGAACTGGGCTGCTGGAGCCCAAGACCCCAGGGCCAGTCCCGTTTGGAGGCGCCTGTGGGTGTCCAGAGGTCTTCTAGTCCTTCCATTGGCTTTGGACCAGGAAGGAGTGCTAAGTCAACTGGACCAGCAAGGGCGGTGTGGTCTCCAGTGGATTTGGAGCGAGATGACCTGGGTTTGAATCCCAATTCAGCTGGTTATTGTCTGTGTAGGAAGTCATGGCTTCTCTGGGCCTCAGTTTCTCTGTCTGTAAAAGGAAAGCGCTGGAGGATATGATCTCTAAGGTCCCTTCCACCTCTTAATCCTGTGACCCTAGATGCCTCTGTTGCTCCAACCCAGCATCTAAAACCCCCCACAAGCAGAAAATTCTTTCGAGGCTATCCTCCTATTGGGACAAACAACGTAAACGTATTCCCTTGGTGTTGAGCAGGCTGCATGAAGACACTACCTGCCTGCCCAACAGTCCAGCTTCTAGGACCTCTAGGAGGAAAGATCTTAAAATTTATATCTGGAAGGAACCTTGGAGACTGATTATCTAATAGAGGCTCCTCATTTTACAGATGAGAAAACTGAGGCTTAGAAAGATCTGCTTAAATTCATACAGCTTGTAAGTGGCAGAGGCAGGTCTATAATTCAAGTCTTCTGATTCCAAATGTAACTGGTGCCCACCATTCTCTTTTGCCTCTCCATTGTTGTTGATTACAGTATTATCATCTCCTAAGCATTATACAAATGCGTAAGGAGGGGGGCTTCACTAAACTGGGAGTCATGGGAGAAAGGATGGGAAAGATCAGACAGCCTCAGTGGAGGCTGAAACAACAAGATTTGATGACTGGAGAGGAAGGAGTCAGAGATGAAAATGAGGTTTGGATCACCGCAAGCATCAAAGGCGTTGCCACTAATAGCAGATGCAGATTTGGGAATGGAAGAGGGGGAAAAAAGACATTCTCTACCCAATGTAGTGTTTGTTGGTGAGGAATCCAAATGGAGCTGTCCAACACCACCGTTGGAAGTGTGGGTCTGAAGATTTTTTTCGAGGTGATGGTAGAAGGTGTGAGGGAGGGGATTGGGGAACATGGCATAAGCTAGGGGAACATCAAATTTAGGAGACAGGAAAAGGACTGGGCCCTCAATGCTGTTCAGCATCTCTCTTCTGCATTATCAACTCCCCACAGCATTCTCCACAGCCAACTGTTGCAAACCTTTTTCATTCTCTCTAGCCCTGGAATATACCTCCAATGGCTGATGGCTTCAGATGTGAGTTCTTTCAGCTTCCTTCTCTTTATTCTTTTCTCTTTTTCATTTGCTTATTTTCAGAAATTAATTAATTAAAGCAAATTGCTCATTTTAAGCAATAAACAATAATCAAAATACTAAGAGGTTTCTTTTAAAAAATTTTTTTTTGGAGACTGGGGCTCCCTATCTCACCCAGACTAGAAGCACAGTGACCACTCGTGGGCCTGATCTCAATACTAATAAGTACAGAAACTTGGGCCTGCTCTGTTTTTCTAACTTGGACTGCTTTCCCCTCTTTAGGTAGCCTGGTAGCTCTCTGCTCCCGAGGCTCACCATGCTGGTCCTGTTCTTAATAAGGATACTTTATTGGCTTTAGCCCCACAGCAGCTCAGAAGCCCCAAGCTCAAGTAATCCACTAGCCTCAACCTCCCTGCCAACAGGTACAACAATTGTACACCACTAAGCAAGTGTCTTTTAAAATGAATTTTATTAATTCTTCAAAGCATATTCATCCATCCATCCATCTATCTATCATCTATCTATCCATCCATCTACTTATCCATCCAACCATCTATCTATCCACTTACCTACCTATCTCCCTTCCAATATCTCCCTTCCAATCCCAATTCAACAATTAAGTAAAAACACTATAGTAGATACAGAAACAGGAACTGCATGTGACAATGTATACAATATTCTGTCACAATAGTTCTCTACTCTTCTGCCATGAGGAAGCATGCTTAATTATCTTTTTTTCCCTGAACTTTTGTTTTTTTTCCAATCAATCGACATTTATTAATCATATACAATATGCCAGGCATCGTGCTAAATGTACAAAGATACAAAGATAAAGGAAAAACAGTGCCAATGCTCGAAGAGCTTATATTCTGGTTGGGGAGACTTATAAGACACACATGGAGTAGGTAGAAGGTACCCTGAGAGGGAAAGCCATGAGCAGCTGGAGGGACTGAAAAAGACATCTTGTAGAAGGTTGCATTTGAGATGAATCTTGAAGGAAGTCAGGGCTTCCGAGAGGTGGAGGTGAATACAGACAGTTCCAGGAGCACGGAGTAATCATCACAAAGGCATGCAGACAAGAGATGGGGCATTGTGTATAAGGACCAGTAAGTAGGTTAGTACTTAGGCTGGATTATAGAGTGCGTGGAAGGAGGGACTGTGTAAGAAGACTGAAAAGACAGGAGCGGGTAAGGTCATGTAGAGTACCTAAATGAAAAACAAAAGCCTGTATTTGAACCTAGAAGGGATACATAGGGAACTACTGGAGTTTACTGAGTAGGGGGATTGACATGGGGAGATCTATGCTTTAGGAAAACTACCCTGATCGCTGGATGCAGGATAAATTGAAGAGGACAGAGACGTGGGGCAGAGAAATCACTTAGAAAGCTACTGATGAGCGCCTGACCTAAGATGATTCACTGTTCGAGTGGAGAGGAGGAGACAAATATGATAAATGTAGAAAAGAAATAAGATTTGGCAACTGATGGGGATATGGGAGAAGCTGAAGTTGTTAACCTGAGTGACTGAGAGGAGTGACCATCAGAGGGAAGTTTAGGAGAGGGGTGGGCTTAGGAGGAAAGATAAGCTCTGTTTTGGACATGTTGAATTTATAATGCCTTCCTTTTAGTGACATTTTCATCTACACAGTTGTAATCACTGTGGATTGGGGTTTTTTTTGTTCTGTTTAAGTTTACTCTGCATCTGTTTATACAAATATCTCCATGTTTCTGTGAACTCTTACTTTCTTACCATGAAATAATATTTGACTACATCCAAAATACCACATTTTTTTCATCCATTCTGCAACTTATGGGTACCTGTTTTCTTTCTTTTCTTTTTGCTACTGCAAAGAATGATGCTACTAATATTTTGCCATATGTTAGGTATTTGTTTCTGTCTTTGACCTCCTGGGATCAAAGGTATAAACTTTTGAGTCACTTTATTTTGTATAATTATTCCAAATTGGCATTCCAAATAGTTGGACCAATCCACAGGTTCATATCACTGTGCCTGTCTTCCCACAGCTCCTCCAACATTGACTGTTCCCATTGGGAGTCATCTTTCCCAATTTCAGGTTATAAGGTCATATATCAGACTTTCATTTGCACTTCTCTAGCTCTTTGAGGTCAGGGACTGTTTTAATTCATCTTTTGCCACATGGCATCTACCTACCATAGTCCCTGGAATATAAATACATAAATGCTTGTTGACTAGTAACATGACACATGTACTCAAATGCCCATTTATAGTCTGCATTTCTGTTCTGTAGGTATCTCCAACTTAACATGTTCAAAGGGTAACATATCCAGAGCAGAACTCATCTTTCCTCACACCCTTTTTCCTAACTTCCCTATTTCTGTAGAGAGGACCACCATCTTTCTAGTCACCCAGGTTCAAAGCCTCAAGAGTCATTCTTAACTCTTCATTCTTCCTTATCCTACAGGATAGTATTCTGGGCATGGAGGATGGTAAATGGAAAGCCATTGGAATTTGGGAGACTGAGTGTTATGTGTGAGGAACAGCAAATACTTCATTGTAGCTAGAACATAGAGTATATGGAGGGGGAGGGGTAAAGGATAAGGAGACTGGAAAGGTAGGAAGAGGCCAGGTTGTGAAAGACTTTAAATGCCAAAGAGGATTTTGTATTGATCTTCAAGGAAACTGGAACTCACTGGAGTTTATTGAGAAGTGGGGGGGGTAACATGGTTCGACCCGAACTTCAGGAAGATCATTTTGGCAGCTGGTCATTCACGTCAAGAGAAAGGTTAGAGCTCACAGTCTAATGGGGGTGAGATGGGAGGAGGGGGTGAGGTGAGTTGCACAAACATACAGACTGAGTTAAATGGAAGACGTTTGTCTGAATACCATTCTAGTGCTTTTCTATTTCACTAAATTCATTTTAGTGATGGGGAGACCTACAATGGAATTGGTTGGTTGAAGTCAACAAAGTGAGCCTTGAGAACAGAAAAGATCTGGAACAGCTACTGAGAAGAAGGAATAGGCCATCAGCTAGAGAAGGAATACGAAGGCTGAGAAATAGCAGTGAGGGCTTAGCCCGGGGTTACACAGTGTAAATATGTAGTGGAACTGATTGGCATGGTAACAAGACTTCCTCCAGAAACTCTCAGAGGCTAGGAATAGGAGAGAACAGTCAGTAGGATTTTACCTGGGGTTAGGGAATGGGGAGGAAGATATATGGGAAGGTCAAAAAGGCTGAAGAGTCCTAGGCTGAGACCGTAATTGAAATGGCTCATCATGGGGTCTAGGCTGGGCAGGAAACAGGCTAGTGCATGTCTTTGTCCAATTTAATTTACCAGTTCCATAGGTGATCAGTTTTTTAAAAACTGAGACCCTTCCCAAAGAGCTTTTGTTTGTGTGGGTCATATCTATCAATATTTAGCATATTTGAAATGAA